GCTGAAAACGTCGCCAGTTCTTTTATACTTATTTCCATGTCTTCTGGTCCAAACTCAATGTTCTCCAACCCTCTACCGCCTGGCAGCTCCTGGAGAACTTCAATTTCATTATCCTCCCTTGAGTAGCAGAGGTTACTGGACACTGATTCAAACTGTGATCCCAGTAACTCACACATGCCATGGTCATCTTCGACAATGACTTCGTTATCCTTAAGCGGGCCTACTGGCGTCCTTATTTTAGCCTTGGATTGAGCGTATTTAAAAAAATACTTGGGGTTCTCTTTGATGACCTCAACCACTCGCTCTTCCGCGGCTTGTTCTTCCAACCTGCGCGAGTCCTGCAGCCTGAGTTAAATTTCCTTGTGCAAATCTACAAGCCTCTGTCTTCTCATAGCACCAGTGGATTCAGCTATTTGTTTATTTGATCGCTTGCGTTTTCTCATAAGGATTCGTCGGTCTCCCGGAATGCTGCGGTTTCTCACACAGTTTTGTGTAGATTTCCTCAGCATTCATCTCGGAAAAACTCCGCTCTCCAATCGATTCCGTCAATTTCATTCCAAATTGCCACCCAATTCGTTCTTCGATTGTCCTGCCAGTCCCTCTTGGGGTATAGACCTGGGCAGGGTTTCAATTCCAATTGTCGTAACTTCCACGTCACTAAGCGATGGTCAGAAAGTGAGGTATCTTCAACCCGGACGTCAACCACCATTCTTTTATTATTTATAGTAACAGGGTTCGTACCGGTCATGGAAAACCTAGAAAGTCATGGAATTTGTTTTCTCACTTTCCAGGCCTGGAAAGTCATTGGATTTCATTTTAGGTCATGGAAAGTCATGGAATTTGCAAATAAAAAATGAAGTGTTTTTCTGTGCTGCGTGTGTTTGTGCAGTCTCTTGTTCCCTGCGTTCTGATTGGCCCAATCTCTTGTTTCATGAGTTGTCAAATATGGGGAAAGCAGCTTTGAAGAGCCATGCCAAAGGCAGCAAACACACCAAGGTAGCTAAGCAACACAGTGAAGAGAAAAGCAAAGCGCAGTCACGCATTTCCGATTTGTGGTCCTCAGACCGTAATGCAACTGCAGTTCTTGCTCCAAAAGTGTGAGGGAGTAGGCCGTCACAAAAGTCAGCACTGTAGTGTCTACTGCCACTGTGAATGCAGAGACGGAGAGCAGGCCTGTATCCACTGCCAAAGCCAACCTCAATGGCGAGCTGACTAGCTTTGTAACAAAAGAAGATGTTTTGACGTCTGAATAAAATGACCATCACCGAGAGCCAGCTGGCAGTGCCAAAACAGCCTACAATAATTATTTGGCAGAAGGGAAAGAGCAGAATGTGAAGGCTTAGAAAACCCAGAAGAGGAAGGCTCTGTTGGATGAGCTAGATGAACAGAAGAAAAAAAGACGTACGGAGGAGGGCATCAAGGCGCTTGAGCAAGCAGCAGATGAATATGCAGAAGCAACGGAGAGAAATGGGAATTTGAAAATTATTGCCGAGTTCAGTGCCATGAGACGATTTGAAAACAAAGCAACAGGAGCTAGACACTCTTGAATTGATTATTAAAGAAAAAGATTAAAGAAAACTGAACATTAAAAAAGTGGATGAAAAAGCTGCCAGTTGAATGTTAGGGTAGTGGTGTTGAAGAGTGTTCTTAACTTTATTGACATTATCATGTACAATCTTGTGTGCATTACTCAATATTTGTTGTGATTTGACACTATTAAATTCATAATAATACCAGTGTGGGCTTCATTTTCAGATTTTTGTCATTTATGTTCCCCTGTGTCTGCCTGCTCTATGCATTTACACGTTTGCTATTTATCAACTGTAGGAGATGATATAATATGCACGGTTAGTCTTTCAGTCATGCTAAACCTGTAGTTTACGAGTCTTGGAAAATTATATTGATGGTCATGGAGAGTCATGGAAAAGTCATGGAATTTTTTCCTAAATACCGGTACGAACCCTGCTTACACTGAGCTCAGATTCTGACCGCAAGAACCCTGGACTTGTAACGCTCGGCTGCCAGACCGCGATGTAGGCTCGGCAGGAAGTAAGCAATAAATACCTTCGCCTCAAGCACACTTACTTCTTCCCTCTCTTACTACAGCTCAACACGCTTATTTGTTTCAGTGATTTAATGCAAAACACTTGACACTTAATGTAAACACTTCACTGCTTCACGTATTGAATGCTATAATTTTATTCTACGGATCTGTTATTTTATCTTTTACTTTTTCGGGTCTTTTTCATAGATAAAGGAGTAATTTTCTGAACATTTTCACAGTAAACAAATTATGCTCTTTTTTTACTGACTTCCCTTATTTTTCGCCGAAACACCGAATTATATCTCTCAGGCCCAGTCTGTACAATTAATTAACAACTGTTCATCAAGAAAAATAATCGTCAAATAATCGTCTTCATTGTGAGCCGGCAGCGACACGTACGTCCTATCCCGACGACGTCTAGTAGGGAAGTCCTTAGCTTATATGTGCTCTTAGCTTATTCGTGTTTTATCTTATTTGTGCTCTTGGCTTATTTGTGCTCGTATCTTATTCGTGCTCTTAGCTTATTCGTGCTTTTATCTTATTTGTGCTCTTAGCTTATTTGTGCTCTTAGCTCATTCGCACTCTTAGCTTATTCGTGCGTTGTAGGAACCTTTAACTGAAATAAAAAAGCCGTTTAATTTTCACCCCTATGACACTGTTGACAGAGCACCCTAGGCCTGCTGAGCGAGCATCACCTGCAGCCTGACGTCGTCACCTTCGGCTGCCTGGCGCTGGGCTGCCCCTCCCTCGCCCTCGCCAAGGAGCTCCTCGACGCCATCGACCAGCACCACTCCAGGTGATGGGGGGGGAGAAGGGGGGCCCAGGTGACATGGACCGGGGGGGGAGGGTGACTGGTCGGCGTTATGGGAGAGAGGACGGCGTGTTGGTCAGGGACGCGTGACATGGAAAGGGGCCAATTGACATGGAAAGGAGTTATCTTTGATTACAGTATACAATGAGAGGTGTGTACATTTATTTTAGCTCTCTTCACTTGACGGTCACGAAGATCAGTGACACCTGAACCATTTATAAGCTGTGTATGTTCCGTTGACAATTTATCTGGATACCTCGGGCGCCAGCATCTTGCGACGAACTCCAGAGGAGGACGTTTCTTGCCCCACTCACAAACAATGGTTACTGGCATCTATATTACGTAGCGCTCATTTTATAATATTATTGCAGAGTGGAAGCTTTTAAACACTTCAATAAGCGTACTAATATTGAACTATAATTATCTCAAAAAAGTATCAAGAGTTAATTATTGTATATTTTGCTGTAGTTTCCATAATAGAAAAACTTCAACCGCGCGTCGTGAGCTACTCATATCACCGCGATGAGGTTATGATGGTGCAGCTTCGATGTGAATAAAATTTAAGGAGTTTATTCGAATTAACTTTAGCGTAATGAAAATCCGTGTAACCAACGTCGCGAATATCTCCTCGTTCAAATTTGCATCAATTTTTTCATGAGCAATTTAGACTTGTATAGATCTCGACGTGCATTATTCTAGGATGGATCTTTCTACACCATTCGCTTCATAATAACCTTATTAAATAATACATGAATGTGATTCTTCAAAAAAAATATAATATGGCCAGCCATTTGTGGCATCGCTGGCCGCCCGTGTATGGCGTCAGTTCGGTCTGACCGTTTCCCCACCCTGTATGGTCAACCGCAACATCCTGCTAGCCTTCCTCAACGAAATTCTATCCATATCCATCCATCCTTCTCTCCTTTCTGCTATTCTGTCCTAAATTTACAATTCCCAACTGTTGATGTATCCACACTTACTCTACTCTTTTCTAATTTGTAGCATGTGTGCAGCAGCAGGCGTGTGCGGCGAGCGTATACTGCGCGTGTAGCCCCGACGTGGCAGCGTGTGGTGGTGTATATGTCAACGGTTGCCTGCCCTGCCGCCCGTCGCCTGCAGCGATGGACTCTGTCCTGGCCCTGCGCCTCTACAACCTCGACCTCCGCATCATCGAGCGCACCATGGGCAGCGTGGCCTTCGCCGTGGCATCATAGTGTATTTTGTCGCAGTATATGGTTTAATGTTCGTATTTCGTAAGTCACTCGTAATAAATATGTGAAGTATAAAATTGCTCTTTTCTTCCCTCAAACATGCAGTCATGAATACGTGAGCTTGTCATTGAAATACGTGAACTTGTCATAATTTGTCGTGCTTTTGACACGAAGTCGAGCGCTAATAGTAGTTGACCGCATCTTAAGCTGTGTCTCCGGTATCGGGTGTGGTGCCCGGTGTTCCAGGCACTCTGGCCCAGTTGCCGCTCCGTGGCTGCGACGCAAGGCTACTCAGGGGAGTCGGACTTTCCGGCTCATGGGACCTTGCCATCCCAGGTCTGCCTGCTCGCGACAATATTTCTTTAAGAGTGATTAACAATGAATTAAGATAGTCAGTGTGTTGGCTTTGTTCTGTCGCGCTGAGAACAGTTGTAAAGCCAAATGAGCGTTTGGATGGTTCATTCCGAATTTTTTTGTCATCAGAGCGTAATGTTTCTATGTCCAGATGTACCGAAATTAATTAATTCAGTATGTTAATGAGTTGCGGCGCATTAATAGTTGTCTCAATTTTGTCGATTTCGTTTGCTTTTAATTGTATTCTATTTCTTTTTTGATCTCTCAAACCCCGTCAGCTGGCGGGATGAGGAAGTTCCAGGTGCTAGCGTCATGTAGGCGCGGTTTTCTTAATGCTCGTGACAGGGAAATTAAGATTTCTACGAGCAACAGTCAGGCATTACGTTATGCCAGTCTTACCGATGAGCTGCTGGCTAGTAGGATGACATCTTGCATTGCATTCAATCGATATATTACAAATGGATCTTGTTACTTGAGACCGAAAATAACTTCAAACTCTGGAGACCCTCGTACGAGCGAGGCCGGTGGCGGCGCTAGTTTACTCGTGGACCCTGGCCCAGAAGAAGGTAACACTCGAGACACCGCGACCAGGGAGATGGGGCGGTCGGATAAGAGGTCGCCTCGCAGCTCCCTGCGTCGCGCTAACACTCAGGCTGATCTAAAATTTTACTCATCGAGTGCAAAAGCTGACTTCATCCAAGGCCTGCTGAAAGAATTTAGCTCATCGAAAGGTAATCCCTTGAGCGCGTTCCCAAAATCAACGCCTGAAGTTTTCGGCGAGAGCGATGATTTCGGTTCCGTGGCTGGGCGCCTGGAACCTGCGGTGTACGAAGAGGATGAGAAGGACGAGGAGAGGCTTGCTTTGCTCCCCCCGCACAACCAGCAAGAGCTGCAGAATCAGTACACCGAGAGTATACAAGCCCTCTGTGACGAAGGCAAAGTGAGTATTGCGGCTTGTGAGGTACCTACTGCACTGATATATTCACGGTATATCTTGGCAATCTCGGTTAGTCAGGTTACTAAGTCTAGCCAAGTCGTCAAGACGTCCTTTAATGTGGCTCATGTTTTAGTTTGCTGACGCCCTCGCCCTCCTGGAGGAGGAGATGCCGAGCAAGAAGGTTCGTCCCATCCCCTACCACTACAGGCTCCTCATCGGCGCCGCAGCCAAACTCGGACTCGCTGATACAGCTTTCGATCTTTTCTCTCAGGTTAGTCTTGCTTTGAGTTTCATACTTGGGTTTATTATCGATTTGTAGCTCCTGTTGTAAGGAATGCTGCCTGTAGCTCTTGTTAAAAGAAATGCTGCCTGTAGCTCCTGTTGAAAGAATTGCTGCCTGTAGTTCCTGTTGAAAGAAATACTGCCTGTAGCTCTTGTTAAAAGAAATACTGCCTGTAGCTCTTGTTAAAAGAAATGCTGCCTGTAGTTCCTGTTGAAAGAAATGCTGCCTGTAGCTCTTGTTAAAAGAAATACTGCCTGTAGTTCTTGTTAAAAGAAATGCTGCCTGTAGCTCTTGTTAAAAGAAATACTGCCTGTAGCTCTTGTTAAAAGAAATGCTGCCTGTAGTTCCTGTTGAAAGAAATACTGCCTGTAGCTCTTGTTAAAAGAAATACTGCCTGTAGTTCCTGTGTAAAGAAATCCTGTCTTTAGTTCCTGTTGAGAGAAATCCTGCCTGTAGTTCCTGTTGAGAGAAATCCTGCCAGTAGTTCCTGTTGAATGAAAACCTGCTTGTAGTTCCTGTTGAAATAAATCCTGCCTGTAGTTCCTGTTGAAAGAAATCCTGCCTGTAGTTCCTGTTGAAAGAAATCCTGCCAGTAGTTCCTGTTGAGAGAAATCCTGCCAGTAGTTCCTGTTGAAAGAAAGCCTGCTTGTAGTTCCTGTTGAAATAAATCCTGCCTGTAGTTCCTGTTGAAAGAAATCCTGCCTGTAGTTCCTGTTTAAAGAAATCCTGCCAGTAGTTCCTGTTGAAAGAAAGCCTGCTTGTAGTTCCTGTTGAAAGAAATCCTGCCTGTAGTTCCTGTTGAGAGAAATCTTGAAGTTTCTCTGGTCGTCACACTCGAAATCCTGTCTGCCATAGTTTTCTCCAGTGTTAACACGTGTTATCTTGTCCCCGTTATCTTGGCAGTGTTATCTTGGCGCTGTAATCCTATAAGTTCTGATGTTTGTGCAGCTCGTGCGTCACGGCCACACCCCCAAGCCGCTGCTGTACTCCTACCTCTTCATCGCGTGCGCCAACGACGCGCACCCCACGCGTCACGCGCCGCGCATCATGCGCCATATCAAGTGCCACTCGGCAACCACCTGACAAAACGATAAGTAATGAATACCGGTATCTTGAACCTGAACCTGAACGTAACGTAAATTTGGTGGAGAAATCACTCCGATTCACCCAACTTTAAAAGATATGAGACGATAGGAAACGTCTCTCTCTCTATATAAGTATTATTCATTAAAATCCCTATTTAATCAGATGCTCTTCACCACTCGTCCCAAATAAAGTGCCTAGTAACTCGGTATTAGTCCAGCTGAAGTATTATTGAGACGAGACGATAAATACTTTTTATTTCGAGAGTGGGAAGGTTGTGGCTGTCAAGCCTGTGCTGTGAAATTTTTTGCTTAATTTGTATTGAAGGTTATCCAACGTGAGGGTTATTTTATGTGGAGGTCATTGTGTGTGGAGGTCACTGTACGTGGAGGTTACTGTAAGTGGTGGTTATTGTATGTGGAGGTTACTGTATGTGGAGGTTACTGTATGTGGAGGTTACTGTATGTGGAGGTTACTGTAAGTGGAGATTATTGTAGGTGGAAGTTAGTGCAATTGGGAGGTTATAATGCATAAGAGGGATTAGCACAAACGCGAATGATATTCATGTTAATCTATAATGAATATTTACTTGTGATGAAAGTCATCCAGCGATCAAGTAATGCTGATATTAATTAATTGCTTCTTGATCTGTACTTCTGGCTGCCTGTACTGAACCACATACGGTTACGTATGTGAAGTCGAGCTTCCTGAACCTTCAACCTGGCAGTGCCCGGTTAATCGACTCATTCTAGCATTCTAATCTCTAATCCCTAACATTCTAATCTATCAATATCAATGCCTCAACAACGACATGAAATTTCATCTATCGTTAATTAAAAGTTTTCTTAACAACTCAGACCCAACATCATCATAATGGTGAACTTGGCGAAGACCGCGGTGTCCACGAACCAATACGACTACTCAGCCAAGCTGGTGAGTTGGGTGAAGCAGCATCGCATCCGCCCCAACGCCACGTTCATCGAGCTCATGGAGGAGGCCAGGGCTCGGGCCAAGCAAGACCTTAAAGACATGGTCAGTCCTCTTGCACGCGCCTCATCCCGCACTGTCTCTACTCTTAGCACCTCTTCTTCCCGCACTGTCTGTTCTCTTAGCCCTTTTTTCACGCTCTTATCTGTCTTCTTAGCCTCTTTTTTCACGCTCTATCTGTCTTCTTAGCCTCTCCTCTTCTCTTCGTGGACTTCTAATCCAATTCGCTCTTCCCTTCCAATTCCAATTCGTTCTTCCTTCCTTCCAATCCTCCTAATCCAATTCGCTCTTCACTCATCCTAGCCTATATTCTTATCTCAGCTGCTAGTGATCCCTTACGAGTCAGGGAATACTTTCAACCTTTGTTTGGCATGTCATTAGCCCACGATCTTATTTGAATTTAGGAGCCAGCTACTATCCCCTTGTTCTTTTCCGTACTAAGGGTGTTAGGGGGCTTCTTAGGAATGGCATTGGCTGCATGCGAAGCTATATTTCCCTTACTGGGCGGAGTTATGTGGTGGGGGATTCATGAATAACGTTGATCGATTGATTAATATCCTTTTGATCGAATTATCTTTCATTTTAAAATATTTTATTTTAGATGATTGAAAACACTTGTGATGTACAAACTGTTAGAGATGAAACGCATTTCTCTCGATTCTGCTGTGGTCGATTTGCCTTACGAGGATTGCTTTACAAGTTCGTGCGTTTATATCGCACTAGAGATCTTTTTTTTTTTGTAGAAACTAACAAAAAAAATTCTTTTTTGAATCATCAATTTTAATAAGAATTATTGTTATTTTACAAGTTACGTTTAGAGACTGTTAATGTTTTACTGTACGAACTCGTGCAACTTACTGTCATGTGCTCATATTGAGCTACGTAACCACGCACTTGACTTCTTATTATGATGGCAGGAGAACGATGTCTTCAAGTTACGTTTATTTACTGTATTACCGTAAGAACTCGTACAACTAACTGGCATGTGCTCATATTGAGCTACATAACCACGCACCTAACTTCTTATTATGATGGCAGGAGAACGATGTCTCCGCGTCGTCGCGGCAGAAGGCGCGGCAGCGGAGGAAGTTCCTGGCGACCTACAGCCTCTGGCTCCGCAGCGCCCCGCTGGCCAGCGCCCAGACCAACGACAAGCAGAAGCACGCCCGCGCCACGCCATAACCTCCTTTGTGCCTTGTAACTCCTTGATGATTGATTATTAAAAATGACAATGATGCTTAGTAATTGTTTCAATTTGTTACCTTATTTACATGAAATAAGAATAATTCTGTAACGCTAAACGCAAAGTAAAAGAGTAATATCAAAATTATGCTTAAATTTGGCACACCATCCATCCAAAAATCAATAAACACATCATTAAAATCCTGACATGCTCAACTCCCCCAACTGCTCCTCTTTCTTTGACGATCGTTGTCAATAATGAACGAATTGGTTTACAATTTTTACAATTTTTTTTTTGTAATTGGTTTACAATTTACAAATTACTGGCAGAGAATTCATTAGCCATCAATGCCCTGTTTCCAGGAGACCTCAAGTTACAAGGCTACTCTGGAAGACGCAAAGAATCCCTGTGTTGACGGAACAGTCAAGAGACGCGATAATATGTAATCACCGCCCTGCCTGAAAATATTGGCCATGGACATGAGGCAGCTTCTTGACGAGCTGGAAGCCTGAATCAGCGTTTTTCGCCGTAGCTTCGTTAAAGCTTCTAATTCGATAAAAACTCGCAGAAATAGTTACTAGTATTCTGGAATGCGACGTTTATAACAAAGGTTTTTAATGTTTTAAATTTTCTTATTCATTTCTTTTCGTTGAAAAACTTGAGTTTTTGGAAATCAGGTGCGATTTAAAAGTACGTACTTTTAATGTACTTTGGGCACGAAGTCTCCGATGACGACAGTAAGCAAACGACAATCAATTGATCCTTATAAGCCATGACACTTTGTATATCTTGGGGCAACATTCTAGCACGGTTCAAGAAACAACTACTTATTCCGGCATGACGTGTTCGCGTTGTTGACATGCTACCCGGTTAATAATTAAAAAAGAGCCAGCATTACCAACGACCCCATGCCGATCGGCAGTCGCGTGAATGCCGCATCACTGCAACGGCAATGATGGAAAGACCGTTTTGGCGCCTTCTTCGGGACCACTCGTTGCCGTTACATCGGCGCCTCAGGCCTAGCGCCGTCCCGATCGACAACAGCGCCAGTGAGCGGCCACAGCGCGCTAAACCTACCCGGCCGTCTCAGTGACGGTTGCGGGTTGACTGCACACGGGCGCCATAGCAGTGCCATGTAGGCAGTGGTCTTAATACGGCAGTTTCATCAATTTATTTTTAAAACGCTGCCCTGCAGTGCCTGCTCAAATATCGTAGTATGTTACATATGCGCAAGTTAAGCGCACGTAAAATGTTCAATTGCAAAAATCTTGGGTGCGGTAACGAGTACTCGCATATCACATTAACGCATGTATTATAGCATAAATGTAATAAGGTAATAAAAGTAAAGATATACATATTTTCACATCAAATATTTTACTTACGCCAAACACACGCTTGCGCAACATATTACTTTCAGTGACCAAACACTACAGAGCTGCATTATTTCGCTTACCAAGAGTCGGTTTTTATTGGAACATTTCATGGCACACATCTAGATTTAAAAAACAATAGCGCCTTTTTTCCATAAATCAGAAAATGCAATAAAAAGGTTGCAGCTGATTATGTTCATCTTGAACATAATCAGGCTTAAGTCAATTAAAAAATGTTATCGTTTCAGCTTCTATATTAAACATCCGAAGACTACTCTTTTTTCAATAACATTCTCAAATTTCATATTGTGTCATAAATTCTTCGTATGACATCGAAAACTCTATAAAACTTCACTAGAGTACGCACCACTAAAAAGGTAATTACCTAATTTCTCGCAACAAAACTGACACAGTTTAAATCATCATTTTCATTGTAAGATATAGTAGAGGTGAACACGTGTGCCGTTTGTAGGACAGATCGAAAAGCTCTCGATCAGCGTCTCGCCGGCGAAATGTAGTTTCAGCCGAAATTAGTTTCTGTCAAACTCTGCCCCTGGCTGCAGTGCTGCTAGTGGAAAAGAATTCTTTGATTTAGGAATCATATTCAATCTTCGAAAATTTTATTGATCCTAACAATTTAGTTTTCAACAGCAAGTTTTCAAAATCTTGCAACCAAATCGAAATGTGGGTAATAAATCCTCGAAGAATAGCGGATAATTCTGTTTTCTATTCTTCGAAGAATAGCCAAGAATTCTTCTCAGACTGGAAGACACGTAACTAAACGATACAATAAATCTACATTTGGTGCTAAAAATCTTCTCTTAAGGTTAAAGCTTACCTAAGTTAGTAATTGAAACGTTTAACGACAATCAGCGAGGAACTTTTGAGCCGTACCTGAGAGAAATGTTTATCTGGGGAAGAACAAGCTGTATGAACTCTTTACTGGCCAAGTAAATATTGATATTTATGCTAGCAACGACGATTCCGTCATTATATACCGAGCAAGATAAAAATAAAATTCCCACCCTAGTTAACTATTTGACCCATAGTGGTGACAATGATGCGATCGAGTAATATTTCTAACCTACATTGAGATGCAGCAATGGACACCTCAGCGTTTGGTGGTATCAACGACGTTGAATATAGGAAAACTGGTGCAAATAATCGTTATTAAGTAATATATCCCGCTGCTGTGCCGCAGGAGCGGAAGGGCAATCGAGCGAGGGGACACTTCGCTGACAACTCAGTCAGGATACATCGCAACCACGTTTCTTCATCTCGCAATTGCCTTATTGAAATCGCCAGTCTCAAAGCCAGATTTTCTGAGTCAACGTAAATACTCTTATGTTTTTCAAAAGCTCTACCTCGGTCAGCGAAAGTTAGATTTTCATCGGGGATTATTTCATCATGAATCTTCTTATTCGTCCTTGGAAGATCATATCTCCTTGCCTGAATACACTGCATCTCTTCGCTGTATCTGCAGCTGCGCCAAAGCGTCTCCGGAAAATTGCAAGGCTATGTGATGCCCCTGCCCTATAATTTCAACAGCTTAGGATTATTTAGGCCAGCGAACACCTGGTGATCATCACAAAACTTAGGAGGCCTTCATTTGGCAGCTGTACAGTCGTACAAAAAGTACTGCTGCATACTTTGATACTCTGTGGGCTGTAGGAGTGTGCTGTTGGTGGTGACTGAAAAATGCGAGTGAATACAAATCCAGGCATTCTTTATTAATCTCCCTGATTAAATTACAAATCAAAAGAGTTAAAAAGAACGGCATATAGCCAAACCTTTAAAGTTCCATTGTATATGTCTACCTAGGCATCACAATTCGTTCCGGATGATTCGAATTGTCGATTTCCCTTTTGAGTATCTTTTAATCTCAGTTTTAGATGTGGCTAACCTACGAAACGTTCCTATATAATTTGAAATGCAAATTCCAAAGCTCGAATAGTTGATTAGCGAGTATAGGAGTATAATGAACTAAATCTTTAAGCGTCGTAAGTGAACAGATTGACAGCTAGGGATTATATCGCTACGTTGAGTTGCGAGCATTTTGTGCTAGCTTCCTGCTTTGTTGATTTGAAAGGCTGATCGAAAGATGCTAATTAATGAAGGTGGCGGCTATTAATATTATACTAAAGTATTTTTCCACCGGCACACCAGCGTTTCAGTGTATAATATAGTATAAATATGAAGAAGAGTAGAAAAATGGAGAAATATAAATCTAAGAATAGAAAATTTAAATAAAAATAAATTTACAGAACACAAAGTATAAATTGACATTGTGGTCAATTATCACGATAAATTTGCTGTGTCAGATGAGACTAATGTTCTGTGAGTATAATTACTTTGACCCGTCGCTGCGTCAAACATTAAAACTTGAGTAGCGGCTACATGTACGCCAGTAGGACTTCATTCCGCTCATTAGAGGCCTCGATATTTAACTGCGCATTTTTACTCTGGGTGTCAATTTGGAGTGACGTTACATGAGCCTTGATTGATGGACAGGCATTGCAGGGGCGGCGCTTCACAGGAATTGTACAATTTTGCCGTTATTTTCAGTGGTTGCTTCTGGCGCTGGGCGTTGTGACTGCGTTTCGGCATTTTAGTGAGCGTGAAATTTTTTGCGAGAGTGCTGAGCAGCAGAAACATTTTACGTTAACTTTAGCAACTGCCTCACTTTCCTGATTGACTTCATTTGCTCTGGACGAACGCAAATAAACCGTGGAAGCTTGCGATCATCTGAAACTCTAGACTATATTCGTCTGCCACTATTTCTGAAATGAATAGTCGTGATCGAGCGCTGAACCGATTAAAAGCGATAAACCGGCGAGAAAAAATATTTTTTTTTAAATGCAACGGATCTCTATACTTCGAACGCTATGTGATCAAAAAATATACGACTTCATGTTGTCAAGCGTTTACCTCCGGCTGCTTGAATGATGCCCAGTGTCCCTTCGTAAAGCTAGTGATTTAGTAGCTCTGTGGTCCACATCTGTAACTCCAAAGGCGATCGTTAATCGTGTCGGTCATGACCTCTAGAGCCTCTACAGGGAAAACTACTGTAAAACGATGCGCCATATAGGTAGTTATCCTACTAAATTTCGCTTAAATCTTTCAAAGAAAAACTTGTATTCCAATATCTCATGAAAATTTAATTTCAGCAAGATTTTAAACTTATGAACATAGTCACTATCAGCTCTACTAAATTCAATGGAACTATTCATGTGAATATACGAATTAATTGAGGCCCATGTGCAGTGATTCATTAGCTCAATAACATGCAGGTTCCGAATCATAGCAGCACGCTTTGGTCAGTTACCAGCGTGAATTTAACTGAACATTGCATGGGCAAGCACATTTTTTGTATGTTGGTTATGCATTCTTCTTGTATGGAGGTAGGCAACACAACAATAATGAAGCATCTCCCGCGACGACAATGGTATTCCATTTATACGGAACATAATACATAGATGTAATGCTCGTAAATATTTACTTTATATTTTGAGTTTTAGGTGCTCATTATCGATTATCAGATTCAATTTTTTTCATTTGGTGAACAATTTTGAGTACATTATTCGCTGAACTGACGCGTTTGGAGTGTTTCCAATTCCAATGTATACAAT